ACTTAAGGTCTTCCTGCCCACCTCCTGAGTGCTGAGGAGTGAAACCAGAGTTTCGTACATGCTAGGTACGCCCTTATCTGCAGCTCAGCTCAGATCTCTTTTGAGGTCCATTTCGTGTCTAATAATTGCAGATAGAATTCATAATAAACACTTATTGAACAATATGCAATTTAGATGTTTGTAAACATAGTATTAATTTTTTTTGGGGGGGGGCAACCAATGCATGAAACAATTTATTGTCCACTATTTTATCCTGCTCTGAAGAGAGAAGTTAGACTCTGGTGGGAAGGAGGAGAACTGCAGGTGAGCAGAGGCAGCTAACTGTAGGGAGCAGCAGTTTCTGTAAGTCCCAGCCCTTGCCTTCAGGGGGCTGACTTGGAGAGCAGGTGTAGCTAGTGACTGTGAGGGACTGTCTGAAGAGGCTGCTAAGAGCTTCTGTGTCTGCAGCTGGCAGCTTGTGAGAGTGCAGAGGACACTCCTGACTCTTGAGAAAGGAGGCATACGGCCATCTTTGCTCTCAGCAGCTAGAGCTCAGTCCTGCAATGGGAGGGAGGCACTGGAGACTTGCTCCTGACTTAGGCAGTTACAGCTCAGGCAGTGCAGATGCTGCAGTGGTAAGTGGGATGAAGTGTGTGGTATCAGTGGGGTGACGGCTGGGGAGAATTGTTGGGAGAGAAAAGAGTAGATTTGGTGTCAGGACCTAGATTTGGGTTCAGGATGAGTAACCAGAAAGCAGCCTACAAGGAAGAGCCGCTGATAGAGGGTCATAGGTCCCCGAATGATAGGGAAACCTGTGGCAGTGTCGTTAGGGATGATTTTGAAAGCTGAGGCAGTGATAGTGAGGGCCTGCTTAGGTGCAGTGTTGTCCTGTGGGATTCTGGGACGTACTGTGAAGTACAAAGCTGGGTTTGACACCCACCCTGTCCATCCCAGATTTGCATGGGACGCTAGTTATCTGACTCTACACTGAGATGGGAAAGGGCTGTGAAGTGTTACTTGTGTTCATGTGTATGGCCCTTCCTTGTGTCGTCATTTTGCTTGATGTATACACAGACTGCTCTGTAACCAACTCTTAGTTCTCAGGTGATCCCAGAGCCAATGCCCAGGGAGAGTGCAGCTGGAAAGACATAGAGGCCTAGGACCTACTGTGTGAGCTCCTTGGGTCAGCAGATACCTGCCATGGTGACTGCAGCCCACTTTCTGGGGTCTTGATATCAGCTTTCTGAAGAGGGAAGAGGTACATGTAAGAGACAGCCTTTCCTTCTGGCTCTCTCAGGTGTACTCTGCCTGGCTTACCCTTAGGAGTGTCTTCCTGGGGCTTTTCTGGGGTCTCTGTCACTAGAGGACTCCAGTGCTCTGTGGTACTTTGACTTGGAGCCTCATGCTGAGGTTCTGGGCATCCTCCATGACTTTTTACCAGCCGAGCTGTACTACGAGAAGTGTCATTAAAGAGGAGCCTGGAAGGCACATTGCACTACAGGGTCAGCTTCTAGTCCCCATGTGTGAGGGCAGCCTGAGCTAACACTCCTGACCTGCTTTTGTATGTTATGGTGACTGGATACGCTGGTTGAGGCCATGACTTATCTTTAGACCTTATTTGGTTCTTGCTTTGTGCGTGTGTGTGTGCGTGCGAGAGAGAGAGAGAGAGAGAGAGAGAGAGAGAGAGAGAGAGAGAGAGCGAGCATGTGCGCGCACATGTATGTGTGTGTTTGTGTAGGGCTTTATGGAAGTGCAGTGGACATACAGGAATCTCCTATGGTCTTAGTGCAGTTTGCTAGACTGCTACACACACATCCCTGAACTCACTACCAGTCAGGATAATAAGCCTCCTGTCACCTGAACACTCCTACTGTTCCCCTATTCTTTAGTGTTTGCCTGTTTGTCAGCTTTCTATCACATGGAGTTGGGTCCTGGATCATAGAAGTGTATAGTGTGGACCTTTTCCTGGCTACTTTGATTCAGTGTTGTCATTTGAGTGTCATCTGTGTTGTATCCATGGCTCATTCTTTATCTCTGAATACTTTTCCATTATGTAGATACCTTACATGTTGTCTCTGTATTGGTATACTTTGTTATTCCTAGTTTTGGGCTGTCACAAATAAGACTGCTTCAGTTAGTTCAGGTCCAAGTCTCTCCGAGGTAGACTGGAGTGGAGGACTGCACCCCATTATGGGACAGGCCTAAGATTGCAGGATGGTGTCAGGAGCTCCAGTGTGCTGCTGGGAGTTCTCTGCCCACATCACCAGTTAGATTTGGTCTCTTTTCAGCTGGGATGTGGATAGCTCCATATGGTGGATTCAATTTGCACTTTCCTTGCTGGCCTGTGACACTGAGCTTATTTGTTGATGTGGGCTGTGTCTTTAATCGCTGGGAAGTGCCTGTTCAGATATCTTGCCTACTTTTAATTTCCTTGCTGAGGTATGAGAGATCAGTGAGTATGCGTGTTCTGTATGCTAGCCTTCTCTGTTTGCTCTGGTTTGGGGACCAGCATTTCCTTTCAGCTTCTGAAGAAGAGCTATACCTCGAGTTCGGGGTGTGTGAATCTTCCACTTGTTCCTTTATGGACCGTGGTTCTGGAATGATTTCTAGAATAATGGTATTGTCTTCTCTCTCCTGAGCTCTGGTCTTACGTGCAGAGGTAGATCCAAGCCTCCTGTCTTATCTGTCTCCTGAGCTCTGGTCTTACGTGCAGAGGTAGCTCCAAGTCTTCTGCATTACCTGTCCCGGGTCTTCGCTCGCTCACTCACTCACTCACTCACTCACTCACTCACTCACTCACTCACTCTATCTCTGCACTCTGGGCTGTGCTGATGCACTGATGAGGCACTGTGTGGCCTCTGGAGATTCTGAGGCATTTCCTAGATCTCCCTTGGGTACAAACCTATTTCATGTCCTAGTGTCATTGCATTTCTTCAGAACATACATGTTTGAGACGGGGCATCTGAAATGCTTTCCTTCCTGTTGCGATAGTGTGGCAGGCCCATAGAGTCTCTTGTCTGCTGTAGAGCCTACAGTTGTGCTAGCTTCATGTGAGTTCTGGGCTTCCTTCCCTGTTGTGATCTGTGCTGTTGGAGTCCTGAGTGGTCTAGAGGGTGGGCATTTCCTTATTGACATGGCTGAGCTCTGCTGCCAGCACCAGGGGGCCCATCCAGGATGTGCTGTCTTTCACGGTTGCTTTCCTTCTCTCTTGTCACTTGTTGGGGCTTCTGAGACAATCTCCTCAATTTTATCATTCTCTCTTGACCTATTCTGTATTTTTCCCTTCTGCAGTGTCTTCTATATGGTGCTGAGTGACTGCACTTGGCCATCCTGTGGTCTTTGGGTGTTTGGGTAACATTGAAGGGCATTCTGATTCTTACTGCTCTCAGGCAGGCATTTTCTAAAGACAGATGGCACTTGTGCATTTGTCTGTTTAGGTCTGTGCCAGGTATCTAGGATCTTTGATCGTTACCTGTTATTTGCGTGGTGAACAGCTGGAGGAACTGGGTAATGTTAACTTTAACAAAGAGTTTAGTCAGAGATCAGGGATGCAACCAATGCAGGGCCTGTGAGCCACCATGGGCTGGCTAAGCTTGCCTGCTGGGCTCCACTGTGCAGGTTATATTGGGTGTATTTACACTAGGCAGTCAAGGGAGCTTTAAAGCTTGAGGGTTGGGTGGTATTGAGGTCCTCTTAGACCCCTTATCAGCTAAGGAGATACAGGGTCTCTTTAATCTGTTTTGCATCAGTAAGAGGTGCCCTTGAGGATTTCTGCAGGTTGCTCCACCAGCTGGGCTGGACCACGCTCTGGTCAGTGGGTATGTGTGACAGTAGCCCCATGGATAGTCAGACAGAACCTCCCAGGACATGTTGCTTGCCCCTTGTTAGGTCCACAGAGAGCACCAGCCTACAGCGTGCTGATGCAGATTGCGAAATGTAGTTAGTTCTAGAGGGACGTTCATTTCCTTAATGCCAACAACAGGGTTTTCTGGATTAAGAATTTAGTGAGTTCAAAGAGGCCCTGCTACTGTTTCTGGCATATTCAGAGCTTGACAACATTAAAGACTCTTCCTGTAGGAGTGCTCTGGCTTATTCCTCACAGAAGGAAAGCCCAGGGCTTTTCTGGGTGTGTAGCTTACAGGAGGTTCTAGTTTCATCTCTTGCACCAGCATCCCCTCCTCTCAGGTGTGTTACTATGTGTCCTGCTGGGCTGGGCTGTTGCTGAGGGTATCTGTAGCTCTGTTGTGGAAGTTAAATTTAAGAGAGATGTGTTACTGTTGCTTCTAGGACTTAGGGTACAATTAGTTGCTAGTTTTGAAGCCAAAATTAGTCAAACTTGATTGGTAGAATTTGCTTTCTCAGAGTCAAGAACTTGGAAGGGTGAGAGACTGTAGACTGTTGGGTACCCGTTCCTGTGGACATCTGTGTTATGTTATGGGCACATCCTGGTCACCTAGGGGGAAACACAGCCCCTTTGTCTGACAAGAATAGTCTTCCCATGAGTAGACTGCCACAATTTTGGTTTGGGTTGGACATTCTGGGGCGCATCAGGCTGGAGAAACTTGGCTGCACTCAGAGTTGTGACTGAAGTCTGCAAACAGATTTCAGCATGTAGGACAGAGAATTATGGAGAAGGTGCAGAGTAGCTAGCTACCCAGTTCACAGGCTCACGGCTGTTGGAAGCCTGCAGTGAGTGGGTGCCTGTCACTTTGTGAGTGTAGACAAGGCAGAGGCAGTGTTTCACATGTGCTCCCACATGAAGAGGCTGCAGGGCACACATCTGGGTTGAAGCTGTGGCCACTGAGCTTGGCCTTGCCACATGTATTCCTTGTGAGAGGAGATGCAATGTGGTCTTAGTGTATTTGGACAGCCCTCCACCATCCTGTGCTCTGTCTTCCCCCAGGAGCCAGCCTCTTTGCAGCTACTTACATATGTCTCCCGTAGTAAGTAGTTTCCTGATCAGGGTCTTCTTGCACTGGGGTAGGGGGCACTTCCTGATGCCAAGTCTCATTTGTCCCCAGGAATGGTCCTCGTGCGGAGTGAGAATGGGCAGTTGTTAATGATCCCTCAGCAGGCCTTGGCCCAGATGCAGGCCCATGCCCAGGCCCAGCCTCAGAGTACCATGGCACCCCGTCCTGCAACCCCCACAGGTGCTCCACCTGTCCAGATCTCCACCGTGCAGGTGAGTGCATGTGTGGTGAATAGGTTGGCATGGGGTGCTGGTCAGCTCAGCCTGGCTCACCCACTTCCCACTGCTGCATCCTGGAGATGTTGCAAGAGTGAAGGAGTGTCTCATGTGAGTGGATGCTGAGGCATGCATGTGTAGGGTCGGGTAGGATCTAGGATGGCTCTCGTCGCCCGTTCTGGCTGAGACCAAACTCTCTTGAAAGCCAGCTCTTGTGGCTGGTGCTCAGCTTGCTGACCAAGCAGGGTTAGAACAGACACTTGGGGCCAGCTGCCTTGGCTGAGCCCTGGCTTTCCTCTTGCCACCAGTAGGTTTAGCTTTCTGTGTCCCAGTCCCTTCCTCTGTAAAATGTAGATCTGGTCATGCACAGGTCATGGTACTGTCATGAGGACTGAACATGCTCAAAGTACCAAGAGTGAGAAGGCAGAGAGAGCAAAGGCCATACAGGTGTTCCCTGGCTCCCAAGCCTCGAGGTCATCAGTCTTTAATGCCAGGCTGTGTTGTCCCTGTGTGCAGTGCCCTCACACCCTCAGCATCATAAGGCCAGGGTCTCCAGCACACTCTGTTCTGTGCGTTGTGTGGCCTTGCTTTTGTCTGGTGCCTTTCCCGGACAGCTAAGGAGATAGTGGAGTAATCCTGATATTCCCTCTGCAGTTGTGCCCTGTCCTGTAAATGGGGTGGGGTGTCTGTGCTGGAGATGGCAGAGCTCCCCACAACAAACAACAGAGAGCACCTCTGCAGTGTTGTTTCCTGAGGAGGAAGCATGGGGACTGCTGTGGAAGGTTCTCTGTGGCGGGCAGCATCCTCTCATCTGAACCTTTGCGTCTGTACTCACACTGCTCTGGTCACCTCAGGACTCCAGGCATCTCCATCCTGCTGGGCCCCACCTTCCCCATTGACACCATGTGTCTAGGACTCAGGGCATCTCCACTTTCAGTTCAGGCCAGTGTCCCCTAAGAGCATTGTCACAGTTGGGTTTCCAGATGTTTGCTTCAAAAGATGGCCGTTTTGTAGACTTCACTAAAGGAGACTATTTCTAGGATTTTCCATGAAAAGTTTCTCATAATTTTTTATTTTGGGCTTTGAATGATTTCCTCGTAGGTTATTAGTAAACAGTGAATTACTTGAGTGCAGGATTGTATTTTTAAGAGTTTGTGTGTGCGCATGTGCACACATGCATGTGCACAGGTGCATGTGTGACTTACTGTAACTCACTTTAGATGATTTCTAACTTATTTTCTAGGCTCCAGGAACACCTATTATTGCACGGCAGGTGACCCCAACTACCATAATTAAGCAAGTGTCTCAGGCCCAGACAACGGTACAGCCCACTACGACCCTACAGCGCTCTCCTGGGGTACAGGTAAGAGGATACAGCCTAGTGCATCAGTAGGGCTGCATGGCTGGCAATGCATGCTTTTGCTTTGCTGCAAAGACTAGGCTTTAGGGTACCAGGTTGAATTTGAAGATGCAGGGGTCAATGAAGAAAGTGATTTTTCTGTGTCTGAATGCAGGCTATGTCTTTTCCTTATTTAGCATTAGCAGCATTCAAAAGCTCTTTATAAATGTAATTAGTGGTGTCACCTCATTAATATTTGACTCAGGGCATCTTTGAGGAGGGAGTCTGTGCTGAGGAGAGTTTGTGTCTATGCTGTGGCCCCATTACATGCTCATGGACAGTGCTACTGGTGTGTGTGCAAGGTGTCCTCTCAACTTCCTGTGGCAAATTTGTAGATTCCATGGCAGAGGGTGAGGCAGATGTTTAAGAGTGGTGGAAAGGGCTGGTCAGGGAGGATATAATATGTTTGGAGAGATGTAATTGCCTATGTAAGACATTCCTACAGAGAAGACACATCTGATCAGGGAAGCATTTGTAGGGAAGATGTCATTGGCTGGGGCGGTAGCTGTGGTTAGGGGAACTGTCTCTCCGGGCACTCATTTGGGAGCAGGTGGGACGCAGAGTGCCTCAGAAGCTTGTGAGCAGTCATACAGTGCAGGACTTTGAGCTCTGTAGTGAGCGCTGGCCACACTGACCACTGCTCATACATGATCTTAGCTGCAGTGTTCCTATATTCGTTGCACCTTGTTCCATGGGAGCCTGAGCTGGGTGATAGACTACAGGGCAGTCAACACATGGGCTATTGAGCTCTTGGAGTTCAGCTCCATTTTCTTCAGTAGAGTTCTCTGTGGAGAGCAAGAACGTCTTGGAGAATGGTTCTGTCCCAGGCAGCTATAAGCCAGGAGAGAGGCCTGTATGTTTCAGAAGTTGGAGTCTGGGAGAGTTTCCTGAAGGGAACTTGTAGTGCTGCCTGTGTCTGACTCCAGCGTCTGCTTCTCTGAGGAGGCGGGGGCTCTAGAAGCTAGTGAAGCACTTGGCAAATTGTGTGTCATGTTTAATGGTGACAGATGCTTTGAGGTCAGTGAACAGTCTCCAGTCAGGGCAAGTGTGTCCCTAGTCATAGGTGTCAGCTGAAGTGAAGGAAAGGTGGTGAGAAGGGTGCCTGGGTTCTGCTGTCCCTGGCTTGTTGAGTCGGCTCTTAGTTTGTTTTTGCATATTATCTTCTTCATATGATATTTTCTGTCGACAGCTGTAGGTAATGTGGGGGCCAAGAGGCCTGAGGTGGCTAGGTGTCTGTGTAGCTCCCTCATACGCACCTGTGGCTGGAGTGCGCCAAGGCTTTCCTCTAAGGGACCTAAAGACTTGCTTAAAGCTGCTGTAGAGCTCTCCTTGATGTGGGTATGGGATGTCAACTGCTCCCTGCCTTCAGGTGGCAAGGGGCAGTGTGTAAAAAACTGGAGCGAGGAAATGTTGGCAGCTAGATTTGTAAATTGGAGAGGTACGAATGTAAAAACCAGTAAATATTTTATTGTGATTATTCAAGAATGGAGAAATCTTAGGAAAGAGGCTAAGGGCCAGTGGTTTGGAGAGTCTGAGCTGGTTGACATCTAAGTACCCATTTGCTCTGCACATGTTTTTATGTTTGGCCAAGGAGCACCTTCCTGCAGCTGGGCCAGTACCTGTGACCCCGCTCTTATACCTGTGCCTCTGCGTGCTGTGGCTTCCTGTCAAGCCTTGCTTTTGGAAGGCAGAGCACATTCGTGCAGGTAGGGAGTAGAGGCTCTTCCCTTGTCTTGGTGGTCTGTATGATCCCTGTGGCAGGTGCTACATGCTGGAAGGTCACAAATGCTTTTAGCCAGGGCTCTGTGAGCAGATTAAAGGGTTCTCAGGAGTTGTGTCTGAGATGGGAGTTCATTGTGTGTCTATCTGATCCTCTGTGCTTATCTCTGTGACAGCTGTCAGTCAGTCTGATGGATTCTAGACAGTGACAGATTCATGCCCATCAGGTTTTATTGTAGATACAAATACACCTCCGTGCTATCACTGTGGTCCTCAGGGTGGGGATGTGCCATGGCCACCTTGCGTGGATGCAGGAAGTGTGGTGACTGGCACTTGTTGAGCCATTTGCTCCCCACTTTTTCAGAAGCTGTTTTGCTTCCCTGGGCTTATGCTGCTGTTGAGATGCACTTACCTGTGTTTTGACCTTCTAGCCTCAGCTTGTTCTGGGTGGCTCCGCACAGCCAGCCTCACTTGGAACAGCCACAGCTGTTCAGACAGGGACACCTCAACGAACAGTCCCTGGGGCCAGCACCACCTCCACAGCTGCCACGGTAAGAACTCCTATGAGATGCCTTGGGCCAGCCTGTTGGTGTTAGTGGGGAAATGGAGCTGCATACAAAGGGGCTTGAGAATGTTTGGGGCCATAAGTTAACCAAGAGCAGAGGTGCACTGAGGGCCACGGGAGAGTTTGGGCTTCCCTTATGGGGAGACCTGAGGAGGCGGCCACTGAGGAACCGTAGGGAAGGGCCCTGAGCATCCTGCTTGGGATCCAGGACACTACAGATACCTGTGGAAGCCACATATATGTAGCTAGCTGCTAAGCACCTGTGGTTTGGGTGTCTGTCTGTCTGTCTGTCTGTCTGTGTCTTCACTGCTTTTCCTTTATGTACCTGGAGCTTGAGAGAAGCTGGGGCCTTATTTTGCAACTTCTCTTTTTCTTTGCAAAGTACTTTTAACTGTTTCTAAGAGCTGCCCAGGGCGTTGTGGCTTGTGTACATTTAGGCAGCAGCAGCCCTGCCCTGACGTAAGGGCAGTGTCTTGGTAGATGCAGCCTTCCCTAAAAGGGCTGGTTGAGAGATGCAGGCTTGGTGGCCTTTAGAGTGGCTGATTGCCTTTCTGAGAAGATTATGGTTTGTGTAAGAAGTAGCGTGTTTTTTGAAGGAAATTTAGATGCCGAGTTTGCGTCTTTCAGACCTGCATACATTTCACTTCAGTGAGATCCTGTGGGAAAATCTTCTGTAACTTACACCTTTTTTATTTTAATACAGGAAACTATGGAAAATGTGAAAAAATGCAAAAGTTTTCTATCTACGTTAATTAAACTGGCTTCCTCTGGTAAACAGTCTACAGAGACAGCGGCTAATGTGAAAGATTTAGTACAGAACTTACTGGTAAGAAAATCCTATCAAACTCTCTGCCTCAGAGCATGCTGTGTGACCTGCAGCCCATGTTCAGCCTGTAGGGTGACCTGGGTGAGCAGGTGAGAGCCTGTGGGAGGATCTGGAGAGGGAGGGGTACACTGTTGCCAAGATGTGTGGATTGCTTGGTGTGACTGTTCTGGGGACTTGGCTGATACCCCAGCATTCCTACTGCACTTAGATGGGTCACCTGAGGAGACCTGCCAGCACTAGGAAGGAAGGTTTAGAGGGCATCTTAAAAGCACCTGCCTGTGCTTGAGAGTCACAGAGCATACGTTTGACAGCCAGTGTTACTTCAGGTGGCAGCACACCTTCTCTTCTTTCCCCCTTTAAAACTGAAGGAAACAGGTGGGGTTTGGCTGCCAACAGCGAATGCCATTCCCAGGATCAGAAATATTACCAGCCTGTGTGCCTTACCTTGGCCACTTGTGCCTTCCCCAGAGCCCAGTGAGGGTGTGCTCCTCACTCACAGGCCAGCTGCTGGCGCTTTGTGCTCTGGTGGTGCTGATGGCCTCCCTTCTCCCCTACCAGCTTGAAATCCAGTTGTTACTCTTAGAAGATTGCTGTCGCAGACCTGCTCCCAGCAGTCTACCATTGCTCTGCCTCCTGCTGGCTTATCCAGGTTTTGTGAACCCTGGGCAGATGCTGTAGTAGTGTGGGGTGCCCCTCTTCATGGCAGCATGGCTAGGCCTCTGCCCCACTTCAGGTGTCAAGTTCTCACCCATCTTACAGGTTTCTCTAGTCTTTACATGTGTCCTCAGGTGTCTGAGACAACTGGATGCCTTACTTATAGAATCTTACGCTTCCCCTTTGGTGTTGTGTAGGCCTAACTATGGGTGCTAGTCTCTCCCGACAGGTGCCCTGCTCCCTGACTTGGCGAGAGTTGCCCTTGCCACTCTGTAACACATGCATTTGTTTTCTAACAAAATGACTAGCACTGTAGGTGCCTGGTGGGACCCAAGTGAAAACACTTGACTGAGAAGCCTGCCGGAGAGTGTTAACCTGGACTAGTAACTAGCCAGCTAGAGGCATGCTCACCAGCTGCTGCTCAGGGTCCAAGGGGCAGGAGACATGTGCACCCAGGGATCTGCATCTGTCAGAAGGGCCAGTCCAGTGTGATGCCGTTGTGGTGTGTGCCTTGAAGTTGTGTGGAAATGCGTCGATGCAGTGTCTGCATCACTGCAATGTCAGTTTGGTTTGTTTTTCAGGATGGGAAAATTGAAGCAGAAGACTTCACTAGCAGGTTATATCGGGAACTGAACTCTTCACCTCAGCCTTACCTTGTGCCTTTCCTGAAGGTGATTGACAGCTTGTGCTGCAGCATTGTGGTCCAGTCAGGGTTGGGCGTCGCAGATTCCACCTGGTGTGGCTGGGACAGAGCTGGCTTTCTTGCGGCTGAGCCCCCAGATTCGTTACAGCTCCAGTACACTTGTGTAGGGCCAGTGCTCCCTGGGGGAGGGCTTGCTTCCAGCATAAGCCTGGGACCCTGACATTGGTGCCTCTTGAGGATGCATTTATTTATGAAGTGTATTGTAGCCAATTCTCACCAAGAAAGTCCTGGTCAATGAGTGTGTTTGGAGTTGAGTGACAGGCGGGGGATTAGTGACACTGTAGATGTGTGTTATTATGTCTAGTGACAAGCAGGGGATTAGTGACACTGTAGATGTGTGTTATTACATCTAGATGAAGTGATATTAGCCACGAGGCTCTTCTGAAGGATTATGCTTCTAAGTTTTTAAGATACTATAAGCAGTAATGTTCCAGTTGTGCCTGACCCTACGTGTCTGTCTGTCCTCAGAGGAGCTTACCTGCCTTGAGACAGCTGACCCCAGACTCCGCGGCCTTCATCCAGCAGAGCCAGCAGCAGCAGCCGCCTGCCTCGCAGGCCACGACTGCACTGACAGCTGTGGTGCTGAGCAGCTCAGTGCAGCGTACAGCTGGGAAGACGGCTGCCTCGGTGACCAGCGCCCTCCAGCCCCCGGTCATCAGCCTCACGCAGCCCACACAGGTTGGCGTTGGCAAGCAGGCACCGCCCACACCACTGGTATGAAGGCGCGAGCCTGGCATGGTGCTCTTGCCAGTCGCCATGCCACTTAACTCACCAGCCCTGGCTCGGAGCCCCTTTCTGGAAAGAGCAGGCAAGGAAGCTCCTGCTAGAAAGACGTGTGGTTGTTCTCTTAAGTAATTAAAGTGTGAGCTGGAGGTTGAGGCCCACGACTTTGTATTTTTCATAGAATGAAGTGAACTTCTTGGCTCAGTTACTGGCAGGCCCTTAACTTGTTGTTGGGGTTTCCTATACAGGAACACAGTGTTTAATGTGCCTCTTAGGAGGATACTCTTTGGACTTTGTGTGATGCCTGAATGGTCAAACCTTTGGGAATGGGAAGGAGATGGGTCGGTCAGGCATTTGCCTTCTTGGGATCGAGCTGGCTGATGGCAGTAGTGCTCAGGGAAAGCTCAGGGCTGAGGCAGTGGATCTACCTCTGTCTGATGGACATTCCTCCACCGAGGCAGGCTGGCTCTTCACTGTGAGAGGCATTCAGAGTGTGTGTACACCTACCATGAACAGCATAGCCTCACTGCACATAAAAGGCAAACTTCAAAACGGGGCTGGCTGTATAGGACAGTGTTGTAGAGCATTTATGAGGTCTTAGTTTTAATTCCCAGCTCTGGGTGATGATGGAGGACAGTCAATTGGAATTGTTGTAAATGCAACTTAAAAATGAGTACTTGCAGGTGGTAGAGTGCTGTGTGCAGTGTGGATGTTAAGGAGGCGAGACTCCTTGGGTGCTGGCTGCCCTGTTAGAGCTTGCTTTTGTCTTTACTCTATTGGTAGTGAGGAGAAGAGTTGAGAGCAGGTTTTCCCACTGGGCAGGCATTCCTGTGTCCTTTGCTTTCACATGCTTTCAGTAGGGAACTGTGCTGTTCAGCAGTCAGCACCCTGATTTACCCAGAAGGCCGTTCTGTGGAAGAGCATGCTCTCTTTGTGAGGGTCTCGCCTCTGGTCCTGGTTCTGTCAGTTGTGGCCTTGAGTGCTGGATTGCGTGCAGAACCATTTCCACTGTGTTGGTTTTAACTGTCAATTTGGAATAACTTAGAATCATCTGGGAAGAGCGTTCTTAATGAGAAATTATCTAGATCAGAATGGCATATAGGTATGTCTGTGGGGGATTGTCTTGATTTTTGATTGATGTAGGAAAACCTGCCCTGAGTGTTGGTGGCATTGTTTCCTGGGCCCTGAACTGTGTGGCAGCTCAGAAAGCTAGCTGCACAGAAGGGCACAGGCAGGCAATGTGGCTACATTTGTTTCTTTTGACTGTGATGTGGTGTGACTAGTCTCTGTTGTTGCCTCTGTGACTTCCCTGCAGGGATAGACTGTGACAGGGACTTGTAAGCCACATAACCCTCTTCCACCAATTACTTCTGTCAGGCTGTTTAATCAGTGTCAGAAATCATGCTAGAACAGTGGTGTTTCTTTTCACAAACATGAACATGGTGTGTTCAGCCACCTGGTCTTTTCTGTGTGCTGCCCTGATCCCCCTCTTACACCCCCAGTCTCTGCTTATGTCTGTGTGTGCAGCTGAGGCAGATAGGTCAACTTTGTGCAAACCTGGGCCTGAGGCCAGAGGATCTCAGAACCCATGGAAGTGAGCCACTTTTCTGTATCTTCATTTAGTGGCTTCTCGGTGGAAAGCCCTAACCTTAGTTGCTGTGGGCTTGCCCATCCTGTGGTGTGAGCACCATGTTTTGTTACAAAAACAGTTCTGGTGCAGGCATCAACTTCAGTCCTTTGCAAGTGTCCTGTTATATGTGGTGCTCAACAAAAACACAGCCACCATTTTTTTTTTTTTTTTAAAACAGGGTTGGGGTTCAAATCGTAGAAGGGTTTAAGAATCCTGCAGACACTGTGATACTGTGTTACACCACCAGCCACACAAGACTCCTTTATAAAAACTAGAATTCTTACAGGAAAGCTCTTAGCCCAGAGATTTATGGTTGGGCCATCAGGGAGCTTCCTGTGGGCCAGACCCAAAACACATCCAGTGCTATGGGCTCTTGGAGCCTGTTGTAGGCCTAGGGCAGTATGCAGGACAGCATAGGTAAGCAGGCTCTGAAGTATGGACCAACTACTTTTGGGCTAAATGTGGTTCAAAGTGATGAAAGGTACAGTCTGTGTTGGGACAGAGAACCAACTTTAGGGTAGGACTTGGACATCCATCTTCACTCCAATAGAAAAGTAATCTGACCCTATAGAAAACTGAGAGTAGAAATAAGTCATTTATGTATGACCATCAGGCAAAAGTCTCAGTCTGTTGACAGGTGGGAGAAGTCCATGTTCCTTGTGGGGCCTGAGCTTAGCAAGTTTTGCTTTGCTGCTGCCCTCTAGGAAATGTGTGGGGTCCAGTGTAGGTCTTGAGTGTCATGTGCTCCATGTACTTGCTCTGCTGTACTGGGGCCTGATGTGGTACAAGTCTGTCTTTGTCTAAATCTTTTGATGCTGTGTGCAGAGGTTTGTTGGAGACGTGTTGGGTCAGGCTTTTAGATCTGGAATGAGGTATACATCTGGACTTCCTGAAGCCTCTGGCAGGGCAAGGTTGGGGTAGCGCTGATGAAGCAAATAGCTGGCTTCATGGGTCAGTGTGGTGGCCCCCAGGATGTGTGTGTGTGCTCATGCACTATGCTGGCTGTGCCCCAGGTGATCCAGCAGCCCCCGAAGCCTGGAGCCTTGATCCGGCCCCCGCAGGTGACCTTGACGCAGACACCCATGGTCGCATTGCGGCAGCCTCACAACCGGATCATGCTCACCACACCACAGCAGATCCAACTGAACCAGCTGCAGCCAGGTGAGGCCCCGGCTGCTGCCACCCAGGACTGGCTAGTCCCGGAAATGGCCAGTTGTGGGACTGGTACTTGATTTCATTTAATCATTGTGATAAAATTAATTTACACACATCGCTCAGTGACTTCATTTATGAGATTTGTGCAGGCCATTACCCTTGTCAATGTGGTTTTTAGATTCCCTGAATTATATACATTATACTGTTAGTATCTATTAGATACTTCTAGGTAGACCTTCTAGCTGCCTGTCTCCCTCCCTGGGCAGGCAGGCCAGGCCCCTCACATCTCAGACCCTCTCACACCTTGTGCCAGTGGTCTACATGTTCTCAGTTCTCCTCTGTCCCCCTCCCCCTTCCCCTTCCTCTAGCTTCCCTCCTTTCCCCGTCACCCTGTTTTTCCTAGAGTTAGCCTACATTGTGTGGTATACATTTTATTCCCACCCTCTAAAAACCTATCAAAACCAGAAACCTGTTTTGTTCTTGGTTTGAAGGGAGAGTCTTCTCTCTCTTCAGGGCGCCATTATACAGCCTATGATGTGACACTGCCGCTTTTGAGGCTCTTCCCACTTCAGGGCCTGAAGTATAATTCTGTATTAGCTCTTTTCCACCAGATTTAGGCCTTTAGATTATAACAGTATTCCTCCTCACCCCTTTTTTTCCAAGGCAACTTCACTGTGTTACCCTGGCCCTAAACTCCTGGGCTCCAGAAATAATTCCTGCTTTAGTCTCCTAGGTGAGACTTTAAATTAAACATATAGCACATGTCTGCTTACTGTTAGTACAGTACAGGAGTCATTCCTGTACTTCAACAGTTGAAGGGAGCTGGGAGTGGTGGTGCACACCTTTAGTCCCAGCACTCAAGGGCAGCCTGGTCCTCAGAGTGAGTTCCAGGACAGCCAGGGCTACAGAGAGAAACCCTGTCTCCCCCCCCACCCCCCCAAAAAAAAAAGTTTGAAGAAATACAGGTGAGTAGATGCTTGAAGGATGCAGCTAACCTTTAAAAAAAAAAACCTTAGGGTTTAAAGGTTACCTACATTTATAAACTTTTATTTTTAAAACCTTGTTGTAAATTATTGTATCTTTGAGATTTCACTTAGTAAGCATGTGCGTGCACACACACACACACAGGACACAAATATATACATATAACACACATATGTAGATACATGGCAAACATACATATATACATATGACACACATATATAACATATATACATATGTCACACATATACATACACAGATATGACATACATATAATACACATGTTATGGCACGTATATATGGCACACATATATATGGCATACATATATACATACACATAACACACATATATGACACATACATATATATGGCACATATACATATATGGGACATATGCCTATAACAAACACGTGTATATATGACACACACACATATATCACATACCTGTTGTAAAGACACATTAAGAATGCTTTTTTAGAGTCTGTGCTGGTAAGGAAGTGATGCAGACAGGCCACAGAAATGGGCTCTACCATGAGCAGTGACACTGTCATGGATTTTCACTGTAGTTTTCCTAAGACTGTTTTTCTTTCTCCTCATGTGGAAGCATGTATTCTTATCTTTTTAATTTGAGATTTCACACATACATACATCATGTTTTGATAAAATCCACCCTCCTGCCCATCTCCTCTAACTCCTTCCAGACCCTCCATCTCCCTCCCAATTTTATGCACTTATAAAACCAAACTCCCTGAGTCTGTTGGTGCTGCAGGTTATGTGCGTGGGTACAGGACTATCGACTGGAGCATGAGCAGTCTGTCCATCAGTGCATCCTTGGAGAAACAGCCAGGGGCCCCTTCCTATCCATGCCAGAATTAAAAACAAGACCAACAAACGAAATACCACAACAACCTTATTATTGTTTCCTGTGAAGGGGTGTTTTGCCTGCATGTATGTCTGTATACCATGTGTGTGCCAGGTGTCCTTGAAGGCCAGAAGAGGGTGTTGGATCCCCTGGAACTGGTGTCAGCCATTATGTGGTTGCTAGGAATTGAACCTAGGTCCTCTGGAAGAGGAAGTACTCTTAATCACTGAGCCATTTCTCCCTTCCCGTCCTGTGCTGGGATTTTAATGGGCTTGGTCTTAGCAGATGTTGAATATGCAGCCGCAGCTGCTTTGAGTTTATATGTGCAGGGCCTTTCATGTCGAGAAAACAGTTTCCCAGCCGCCTTCCACAGTCTCTCGGCTCTTAGAGACTCTTTCTACCTCCTCCTCCTGGGACGATACCTGAGCCTCGAGGGGAGAAGATGTGGTAAAGGTGTCCCAGTTAGGGCTGAGCATGCTGCAGTCTCTGATTCTCAGCATTCTGACCAGGGGTGTGTGTGTGTGGGGGTGTGTGTGTGTGTGTGTACACATACAGGTGCCCACAGAGTTCAGAAGACAGCATTGGGTCCCAGGAGCTGTAGTTGCAGAGGTTGTGAACTGCCTGACATGGGTGCTGGGAGCCGAGCATGGGTCCTCTAAAGAGCAGTGCAAGCACTTAACCACTGACCAGCCCAGTCTTGTAACTTAAATATGTGTGCATGGTAGGGTTTTGAGAGTGTCACTGTTGACTGAAGAGAGCGGTTTCTTCCTGGGCTTATAAAGCCAGCAGAGTCAGTCCTCCAGTTACAGCCTCTGGTGTCTACTGTGTCTTTGACTTTGCAGTCCCTGTGGTGAAACCTACCGTGTTACCTGGAACCAAAGCCCTTTCTACTGTATCTGCACAAGCAGTTGCTGCACAGAAAAACAAGCTCAAGGAGCCCGGGGGAGGCTCCTTTCGGTAAGGACTGAAGCCCTATTTGCTTTAGTGAGAACACGGGAGGGACTCAGGCTGTCTGCTGACTTCCATACTGTCTCTTGGCACTGGTAGTGTCAGGACTCTTTATTCCACTTGAGTCTGACCACACATCTATCCATCTCTGTCAGTGTGGGCTCCCGGTGTGGATGCAGAGGAGCAGCTTGTTTCATGCCCTCTGCAGGGATGGAGAACAGGTCAGCTGACTTGGTGCCAACAGAGTGCACCAAGGTGACTACCATTTATAACACAGATGACCTTCGTCACCCTGCTCACCGTGACTCTTGATGAACAGAACAGTCTTCCTGGACATTACTGTGTCTTGAGATTCTTGTGTGCGCACACCAGAGTCCAAACTATGACCTTCACTGTGACTGAAAAATGGGGGTTATTTGAATTTCAGGGAGACTCTCCATCCTGAAAGCTATTAAATTGGGCTGGATAGAATTGGGAGCTGTATTGGCTCTGTAGGGTAAGGAGCAGCAGCCAGGCAGAGCAGGACAGGTCACCTGAGTGGATTGAGAGAGAGGCTAGGTGTGTATATATAGCAGAAATGCCTGTACTACTGGCTTCTGGGTGCTCTGGCCAGTGCCGAGGGAGCTGGAGATAGGGAACGTGGGTAAGCTAGAGTTGCTGCAGTCTTGAGTCCCAGCTGGGCAGAGGAGGCATGCTTAGGAACTAAAGTGGAAGCTAGGGTTCCTGTTTGGTTTGCTGAAGAGCTTGGGTACACCCGTTCCCAGCACTTTATCTTACCTACTAGAAGCCACTTTCCAGTGTAAGGCCAGGGCTGCTCTTCAGGGGAGAGTGGTTAGAGCAGGAACAAGCAAAAGACAGTGTGAGCTGTGGCCACCTCATCATGCCAGGACAGGGCTGAGGCAGTGACCTGCGTTGGGCTGGACTCCTTCCTGTCGCCCAGGCTGAGATGGTCATCTGGATGGTCGGCACCGAATCAAATGGGGCAGGGCCAAAGCGCTGAGTAGAAGTGAACCACTGATGAGCGTGTACACAGAAGGGAGGTCGAGTTTGTTCAAGCTTCAGATGCCTCCGACATCCTGGTTAACACTGAGCTGTCACCCTCGGAGTACACACAGTAGCAGGTAGCAGGATGGGAAGGGCAGTATGGTTCAGTGAAGACCTCCAAGGGTCAGACTGCGAGGGGGACTCTCCTTTCGTCCTATGACTGAGTCTGTGCCAAGGGCGTGTGAATTAAAGACAGGCTGCAGAGTGTTCAGTGAGGGACACTGGAGGGCCTGTTGCTGGATGCAGACCTCCCCAGTGAAGAAGTTGGTCTTGGGACAGTGGCCACATGTGGACAGGTTCTTACATTGGCCATTTTTGTAAGCAAACATCTGTCTGGGACAGGCTGTTAGTGCTCTGTGGTGGCTCTGAGTGGGTTTTGTGCTCAATCTTCCTCCACTTCCTGAAAGCTGTGACTGAGGGAAGAATTTTTTTCTTTCCTTGAGAAGTTTTCAGGTAACATGGAGTCTTCAAAGCAACAGATGGTATTCTGGGTTTTGTTTTCTTGAAACATTCTGTGGACTGTGGGCACAGAGTTTAGCTGTGACCCCACACGGTTCTTCCTTTGAACACTTTAATTTTCAAACAAGGTAGCAAGACACTGTCAGACAACAGGGCAAGGCCAGTGTAGGAGCCTTATGTGTGTGTATGTGTGTGTCCTTCCATCTCAGTGCCCCTCTGCTGTTCCCTGCCCCTTGCAAGCTGCCACTGAATTGGAACCACCTTAGTGAGTGGTAATTTCCTCATGCCACAAAATGTTCCTCTCTTCTCGCAGGGATGATGATGACATCAATGATGTTGCGTCTATGGCTGGAGTGAACCTGTCTGAAGAAAGTGCAAGAATATTGGCCACAAACTCTGAGTTGGTGGGGACATTGACCCGATCCTGTAAAGACGACACCTTCCTCCTCCCAGCACCTTTGCAGAGGAGGATACTGGAAATAGGTACGTTTGCACCAGATGCCACTGTGATGCTGAGTGTCTAGACCTCTGTCTGATGTGTTCCATGACCCTGGCGAGGCTCAGTCCACCCTTCTGCAGTAGCTCCACTGCCTCGTCTTGGGCTTACCGGGTTGAGGTCCACTGTTGGCTGGCAGGTAGTAGAAGGTGGGCAGTGGCCGTCTGCTTCCTGCTTAGACTGCCTTTGTACAAAGCGGTAACTAGTGCGTGAGAGAAGCTGGGTAAGTACCATAAAGTGCTTTTTTTCTGCATGGCCTGCAGGTAAAAAGCACGGCATCACGGAACTGCATCCAGATGTAGTGAGTTACGTGTCTCATGCCACACAGCAAAGGCTGCAGAATCTTGTAGAAAAAATATCTGAAACGGCTCAGCAGAAAAACTTCTCTTATAAGGTAATGAGGCTGTTTTCCCGGGGAGAATGTTCGTGTTCTCGCCTCCTGACCTGGGCTGTCTGGAAGCCTTGTTCTGGTTGTTCTGTGCTCACTCCTAGTTCACACACTACCTCAGGTGCTCTTGCATCTGGTCTGGGCAGGTGCTCTGCAGTTATCCCGATTTGGAAGATGGGGCTGTGAGCTTAGGAGATTATGGAGTCTTATCTAATTCCATCTAAAGTGTCCAGTTCCTGCAGCCTGGCCCATTTTGAGCCATGAGCTACAACTGCAGGCTCTTTGCCATGTGGGGTGTGTGTGTGTGTGTGTGTGTGTGTGTGTGTGTGTGTGTGAATGAATGAATGAATGAATGAATGAATGAAGTGGGTTTTCAGCCAGAATATGTCTTGATGAAGGAGTCTGTGTCTGAGCCTTCAGAGCAGCTCACAGTGAATTGTCAGCTTTAAAACACTTCTAAAGTTGGACTTGGTGATGCACACCTTTATTCTTAGTACTCGGGAGGCAGAGTGAGACGGATCTCTTTGAGTTCAACTCCAGCCTGGTCTACAAATTGAGTTCCTGGACAAGCCAGGGCTACGCAGAGAAACCCTGTCTCAAAAACAAAAATAAACAAACGTTTCTACACAGAAGGGCTTATATATCTCTTAAAAAGGCCAAAGTGTATCAAGTGGAAACCTCTTCGGGGAGTTCTGATAACTGGATGAGACTCCCTGTCTTGGTGAGGTGTGAGCAGCTGCCACCCCCATGGAGCTGTGTGCACACTGCCCAGCTGTGCGAGGCCCGCTCATGCTTGTTGAAGTTCCAAATCCATGGTAGACAGTGTTTTTACTGACTTTTCTTTTTTTTTTGGTAGGACGACGACAGATATGAGCAAGCGAGTGATGTCCGGGCTCAGCTCAAATTCTTTGAACAGCTGGATCAGATTGAAAAGCAGAGGAAAGATGAGCAGGAGAGGGAGATCTTGATGCGGGCAGCAAAGGCAAGTTCAACCCTGTCTGCAGCTCAGGCTCAGCTTGCCACCCTCCCCTCCAAGCCGCTCACCAGGCACACTGGCTTGCCATGTTCACCTCCCTGGAAGAAGGGGTTGTGAGTGGAGCTGGATAGGTGGGCAGAAGCCTGGCTCCTGTGCTGCCAGAGGATACACTCCGATTGGAGATTTGATATAAGAGATATGGCTCTCTCATTTTGTTATTTAGTTAATTAATTTAAAAAATGTTTTGTTTCGTTTTATTTTTGAAATAAGGTCTTACTATGTAGCTCTGGCTGTCCTGGAACTCACTATGTAGACCAGGCTGGCCTTGAACTTACAGAGACTTCCTGCCTCTGCCTTCTGAGTATTGGGATTAAAGATGTGTAACACTATGTTTGGTGGTTTGGGCTTTCTTAAGATTCTGACCTCTTCCCTTCCCTGTGGGTTCACATTGTCCTTCAGTCTAGAGCACTCAGAGCTAAGGTAGGTAGGTATTTTGTTTATTATTAGAGTCATCTAGAGATGTTAATTCCAGTGTCAAGCTCTTTGTGCAATAGGAGTGACAGTTGAATGCCAGTCTCATAAGCCCCTGAGCATAGTATGTCTGGAAGCTCTGCCCCGCCTTTCTCAGTCTACACTGAGTCAAAGGCATATGACAGACTGGTAGCCATATGCCTAAGACTCTCTCACTGCATCTGGATAATAGGGAAGACATTTTTTTTCATGGCACACTACCTAAATTTTTGTTATTTGGATGTAAACATTTATAGAATTAGCAGGAACTCTATCACCTGGCTAGATGCTGCTATAGATTGGACATGGTACTGTGGGTCAGTGATGCTCATGGAAGGCCTGACTCTTCTTCTTCTCCTTCTTTTAAAAATAGTCTCGATCCAGACAAGAAGACCCAGAGCAATTAAGGTTGAAGCAGAAAGCAAAAGAGGTGAGCTTCTGTTTTGACTCCTCACTGTGCTTTCAGCTCATGTTCATACTCGGTGTCCACAGAAGAGAGAAGAGTTAAGAAACCTGGAGTGTCTGAATGTGGGCATCCATTGTTCACTCACGCTCTTGGGTGACCAGTCGGCACAGGCTCTTTCTGTGCTGTCTGCATGGCTGGAGAGTCCCTGTCACTTTTCTGTGAGGTTAGGCTTCCTAAACCCCTTCTTCTAATCTTCTGAGTATTTTAAGGTAAGCTTCTGTTTAGAAAGTTTTGTAATTATTTTTGGTCACAGATATGTCCTTAGTTTAAAAAGCTTCAACTTTAAAGAAGTTGTAACTTAGGAAACTTGAGACATTCTTGGTAGCTGTTGCTATGTTCGAAGTAAGAACTCAAAGCAATAGAAGCAATGATGGTTCTGTTTCCTTCCCAACATGAAGATGCAGCAGCAGGAGCTGGCCCAGATGCGACAGCGAGATGCCAACCTCACTGCACTGGCAGCGATTGGGCCTAGGAAAAAGAGGAAAGTGGACTGTGCTGGGCCAGGATCGGGAGCAGAGGTACAGCAGAACATGAGGCCGAGGAGGTCTGGAGGGTGTGGGAAAGTGCCTTCCTTAAGTAGCCAGGGGAGCTCCTGGCCTTCTGTGGAGACGTGGTCTTGTATTGGACACTTGATTTTCAAGTTGCCTTTTTGTTCGTATAACATGAGCTCAAACACATGCTCACATGATTGGCTCTGCTGAGGTTCAGCCTGACTTGGAAAAGCATGGAGTGTAATTCAGGATTGGCTCTGGTGGGGACGACCTGCAGGGTGTGTGACCCAGAGAAGTAGCCACCTGTTCCCTGGACCAAAAGTCTGAGTGTCTTTTTTTTTTTTTTTAAGATTTATTTATTTATTGTATATATGTGAGTACACTGTAGCTGTCTTCAGACACACTAGAAGATGGCATCAGATCCCATTACAGATGTCTGTGACCCACCATGTGGCTGCTGGGAATTGAACCCAGGACCTCTGGAAGAGCAGTCGGTGCTCTTAACCACTGAGCCATCTCTCCAGCACCTGAGTGTCTTATTTGCTACCCTAATGGTTACATTTGCTTTAAACCATTAGTTCTCATTTGCATTTGGAAGAGCAGTAGCAGGCCTGTTGTCTACTGCTCAGTTGTCTCCACTGTTGCTGTTGAGGATGCTGGGTCCGTGCATCACTGGTCCCGTGGCTTGGCAGCCAGGGCTGGTGTCCATGCCTGCACTGGGTATGTTTATTCTTGCCTGTACACTCTCTGCACTGGTTTTCTAGGGTGCTGGTGTGTGTTGTCACTTTTCCTGTCCTTGCTTCTGTGTGTAGTACATCTGGTCTGACTGCTGATGCTTTGGGCCTTCTTTATGAAGTTTTCAGTGTCTTAGGTTCAGTCTCTGGGTGTTGAGCCCGCTTCTTCCATTTGCTGAGCTGCTTAGACTCACATGTGGGTCCGTGCCTTAGAGTATGTTTGCAACACATTCTGTTCCCATCTCTCTTCCTCTTGGTCTCCAGTCACACATGCTCTGGGCTGTGGTGTGGCCCGTGTTCATTTGTATCACTGTTTTCCTCTCTGCCCTTCAGACTGGGTCACGTTCCTCGGCCAGGGTGGCGTTGTGCCAGCTTCTGTTGGCTGTTGAGCTCCAGTGCAGCTCCTATTTACAAGCGTAGACTTCAGGTGAGAGTGTCCAGAGCAGCGTCTCCTCCACCTGTGGTTGAGATTCCCGTGGGCCACATGTCAGATCTCCTGCACATCAGATGTTAGCAAAAGTACAGTTATGGAATAGCAGTGAAGTAATGTTATGGCTGGGGTCACCACAGCATGAGGGACTGGATTAAAGGGCTGCAGCGTCAGGAAGGTGTTACAGAACCATTGGTCTGTAGGCTATATGTTATTGGTCTGTAGGCTATATGTTATTGGTCTGTAGGCTATTTGTTATTGATCTGTAGGCTCTTTGGAAACATCCATCTAGTGAGTGGCAGACTTCCCCTGTCTGTCACTTTATGATGGCTGGATCTCTCTTATGTATTGAACATATGTATTGAAGCTTACAGCCTCAGTTTCCCCTTACTGTTCTCCCTCAGTTGTGCCTGTCACCTGAGTGCTGGGCACCTTGGATCTGCTGTGATGAGGCTCCTGGGTGGTTTCCCTCTGAAGAATGTGGGCTGAACTCGTGATTTAGCAGTTGCTTCAGTCCACTGTGGCTTTGAACTCATTTGCTGTTCATTCTGTTACTACGGCTCTGGGCAGACATGGGCACTTTTTTTTCTAGTCCAGTACAACACCGCACCCCCTGTCTGTGTGTGGCTCTGGCTATTTTTACATGAGTCTTAATAGAGAATGACCCTTTATCCTGGGGAAGCTTGGCTAAAATCTCAGTTGAACTCAGTTGTCACCAGACCTCTTAGTCTATTTTGCCTTTATCCCCATAGAAACTGCTGTCTGCTTTGCTTGATCAGTCCTGCTGTGGAGGTGTGCACAGATTCTGGGTCAGCTCAGAGTAGTGACTTCAGCAGGGCAGTGCTGCCCCTGCCAAGGACTGTTGACCCATCTCCAGTCCTAGTGCCAGCAGTGACTCCTTGTGTAGTGTTCTCTTGTGTGGAGACTATACCTTAAAGGACAGGTACATCCCTCTCAGTTCAATGATAGGTAAAAAGTCTGAGTGTGGGATAAGAAGAAAACCTTGGCCAGAATCTTTATGTAAATGTGCTGTCCAAAAAGTTGCAGCAACTGGGTCTGCTGTTCAAGTGTACAGGCCTGCAAAGCCCACACAGAAGTGAGGCTAAGAACTGAGTAAAACCTTGGGTAGCAGCTGCATACCTTGAGAAGGACACCAGGGGACTTAAAAGACATTAGTGAACTTTTTCTGCTGGGTGTTTTTATGGCTTGTTGAATTATTGTAAGGTGTAAGTCCTGGTTGAGGCATAAACCCAAGTGCTGTAGTGTATACCATAATTCTAGCCCTGGGCAGGAGGATAGAACCCAGGGCTTGCTAAGTGGCAGTATAGCTGAGTCAGTGAGTGAGAGACATTGTCTCAAATATGTAGCAGACTTTAGCTACTTACTGGGTTCTTTTTTCCATCCTTTCAACCCTCTAAGGCCCAGTCAGAGAAACAGAAGGATAGAGGGGAAAAGGGGTGACATTACTGTTAGACTACTTTCTACTGATCAGGGCGTCAAGTTCCTTAGGGCAAGTTTGATCTTCGTATCTAATTTCTTCTTCTTCTTCTTTTTTTTTTACATATGACTACTTAACAAACTGACCAACAGCAATCAACAGCAACCAATAACCCACCAACAACAAACTCTTGGTGGGTGGAGGGCTAACATTATTATTATTTTTACTAAAGGGAATCTATTTAATATTCATTTAATGTTTCAAAGGATTATCTCCTCATGCCAAAGTGAAATTAAGTAGTTGACCCTGACTGTATAGCTCCAAGTCACCTTTTCAGTGCCTCTAGCCGAGTGACGTAATCTGTCAGATTTATCAGGACTGTACTGGTGAAGTTGAGAAGAAGCTATTGAAATAGAATGTAAGTCTCCTGGAGTACCCAGGTACCTATTCTGCAGTGGTAAGGGAGACCTAGGATAGTCCAAACTGAATCTTGAGCGGTAGGGCCCTGACATTATTACCCTCTGAAAAGTCCCCAGAATTCTAAATGTCCCACAACCACAGAAACCATCTGTAACTGGCAAAGTCAAGCTCTTGCTAGAGCACGAGGCAAATCACAGCGGCTGTGGTCAGTCTGAAGTAGCCCCACACGTGGGATTAAAATGAAAACATTCCCATAATATTTCTGTCTTTTTCAAAGAAACCAAAATTCTCACTACACAAATAAGGTAGCCATTAACTTGTGGCCTTTCACGCACGTGTGTACAGGCAGTGCACATGCATGTGTGCATACACATTCATGTCTCTGTCTTTACTTGTGCTTGTGAACTTTAGGTTCGAGACAGCAGCTCCTGCAGCCTAGATTGGACTTGAGGTTGCTCTGTGACTAAGCATGACTTTAAACTCACCTCCCCCCACCAAATCAAGTTTGGGGATTACCAGCCTGTGCCACCATGACCTGCCCTGTATTCATTTTTACTTTTGTTATTCTCGTTGTTTTAGTTTTTGAGACAGGTTTTCTCTGTGTAGCCCTGGCTGTCCTGGAAGTCACTATGCAGACCTGGCTGGCCTTGAACTCAGAGAGATGTATTTGTCTGCCTCTGCTTCCAGAGTGCTGGGATTAGAGGTGTGCACCAGTACTCCCTGTTTCTTTATAGTTTTTTGATTGCATGGCTGGTCTTTCACCTCCCAAATGCTGGGGTAACAGGCGCTCATGGCCACTAATGGTTTCTTTGTGAAGGCTGTTGTACTAAGGAAGGTTTTTGTCTGTGTTCTTGTGGTTACTTTCGTCCTTACACAGTTTGTAAATGTCCCTGGTCTCACGGTGGTTTCTGTAATGTGATGGTGCCTTCTCTTCACACCTTCTGCCTCCCCATTCACTTGCCATCCTGAGAGGTTGGCCTCCTGGAGATGTGGCTTTTAGCTCTAGGCTAATTGAACCTGTGTCTTAAGCGGTTTGGGGAAAGATGAAGCCAGCTTCCAACAACTCAGCCGTGGTTTTGCTGCTGCCGTCCAGTGGTGGCTGATCGCTGTCCTGACCTGCAGGTTGCTTAAAGGCAGAGGTGCCGTGCTTTCTCTTGCCTTGGTAAGTTAATCCCTGGGAGCTGTTGTCACTGCTGTGGTGCTCTGGGCCCTCGCTGTGCTGCAAGCCTTGGTTTACATAGTTACAAAGTTCAGAGCTTTTTGCATGCCAGCCTTTTTGACCCTCATCAATCTTTTTTCCTTCTCTTTTCTGGTTTTCCTTCTTCTTCCTGGACTTGCTTAGCACTCCTTTTTGTGTCCACTCCGGCCTCTTATGTCTCTCCTCTCTGTAAGGGCCGTGCTTCTGAGCTCTGAGCACCCAGGGCCTGTTGCTCACAGGCACAGCACTGCCCTTGGTCACCCCTGTTTGGCCAGGGACTCATCTTGGCTGTACTCTCCCTCCAAATGTGGCACCTGGATGTTTTGTTACTTGTGGGGTGATGGCACCCTCTCCTGGCAGTCCTGAGAACTCTATCTAGATTGAACCACATCTTGCTGTGATTGATCTGCTGGTGTCTACTGACTTGTTTTGTAGACCCTGAGCCCCCCTCCCCCCCTCATTTTTTCCCCTTCATTCCTCCTTGTGTGAAGTTCTGTTCTGCCATCTGAGGACCCACTGCAGCCTGTGAGGCTCCTTCCTCACTGCCTGTGTTTGGACCACGTGGGTACATGTCCTAGGTTCCTTCCATTCTCAAGTGCCCTGACTGTCTCCACCAGTTGTGAGCAACCTTGTTGAGAGTGTGGTCATGCTGTAGGAGTGGGGTCCTCTCTTCTAACACCCCTGCCTTCACATGGGGGCAGTTTCTCCCAGGGGTTTCATTAGACTTTTACACTGGAGAGGTGGCCAGGCTGCCCTTGTGCTGAGCCTCTTAGAATTGATGTCATTTCTTAACAGAGTTCTGAGTGTCTGTTAGTGTTCTTCAGATGTTTTGCAGGGGAGCATGGCTCATGTGGGGCAGTTCACAGAAGTGAGGACAGTGATCCCATCTGTAAGGATGGTAGCCATTGATAGGTCTGGGCCTATGTAGGCTGCTTTACCAGTGCACTCTGACCTAATGGCTGCCTGTGAGACAGTGGTGCAGATTCATGGTCTTAGAGGTTTTTCTAGGAACACTCACTCTATTCTGAGGCACAGAGCTCTAGCCTGTTCCTGAAGTAGGACTCCTTGGTGGAGAAGAGTCAGACTGCAGCATTGTGACCTTGGGGAGGAGCTGAAGCCCAGCTCTTCCCTTAGAACATGGAACTAACCACACAGGCCCTGTGTTTGGAAGGCTGGCCTTAATAGACAAAGCTAGATAGACAAGAAGTAGACTCACCTGTTTATTTAGTCCTTTCAATAGCCTTGGACGGGGTCAGGTGGGTAGCCCCAGCATCGCAAACCAGGAGGCCCAGACTCGTGTACCAGGGACACTGTGTGTGTCCATGTCCATGTGTGCTTGCGTCTGTGTTTGTGTGTGTGTGTGAGTATGTGTGTCTGTCTGTCTGACTGTCTCTGTGTCTATGTTCGTGTCCACGCCCACCCTTGAAATACCTTAAAACATCCTCTGAACTGTAGTTCCCATGTTAAAACTGAGGTTTCAGCTTTTATGTGGATGCTGGCAAATTCCTTGTTCCTGTGGATCCCTGTACCAGGCTCTGAGCAGAAGCTTCAGTCCCAGGAGCCAAGAACACAATCATTGCATCCATGACCCTTCCTAGACCCTCAGCTAAGGACTCCCAGAGCCTCGGAGACTCCACAGGTTGGATGACCTGTGTGTGCTCCCATAGCTCATGAGGGTTTTGGATACACTTGGGTGCCATAGTCTAGTTCTGAGGAGCATTCAGAGGGTTAGGCCCTTGTTGCTGTGGCAAACCCTGAATGAGTGTAGCGTCTGTTGTGCCGTGCCTTCATCCCGAGTCACATCCTGTTGTTCACGAGGCCAGACCTGTAGAACACAGTGGACAGAGAGCACATCTGTGTCCTCTTCTCACCTGACTGCTGACCCCTCAGGAGGAGCAGTGACAGCTGTCCCGCCGGGGAGGAGGCCCAGGTTGGTATACTGACATGAAGCTGTCTGGGCCTCATTACTGCTAGTACTTGCTTATCAGAAAGTAAGTGTGCTAGGTTGATCCTGTGTCTCAATTTCTAACTTTTAGCTCTTCTTAAATTGTACCTGAGATGAGTGCTCCCGCCCATCCCAGCCCTGGTGATGGCTGTTGAACCTTAAAGTAGAGGCATGAACTACAGCCTGGACTCTGGCGGCACACACATCCTGCTGCCCAGGCAAGGTCTCAGCAGGGCCCTGGGTGTCACATCGTCATTGCCTAAGTGTCTCTCTTGGGCCTGTAGTCATGGTGACTCGGAGCAGGTTTAGCAAGGCAAGAAGAGTGAAGCTCGCTACTGAAAATGGAGAGGTGGTGTGGACTTGAGCCTGCTCCAGGGCTCCAGAAGCTGTGGGTTCTGCCGGTCCCAGCAGAGCCACCTCCTCTACAGGCTTTCTTCCCAGAGACTGGCTTGTTGCTCCTTTCCAGATTACCAAGGCCCTCCTGAAGGAAACTCATATGTGTGCTGGTCCAAGCACAGCCTGAAGTGGGTTTTAGGAGACTGACATCTTCCCTTATTCCTACTAGCTACACATTTTCACTGAGGCACCACTAATCTCAGAATGGAACACTACTTAGAACTGTTGCTGCCAACAACATCCAAGGAGATTGTCCACCCAAAAGCACATAGCTCCAAGGTGATGGTGGAGGCCAGGGCCTTAGATGGACAGTGGTGGCTCCCAGCATCTGAGGAAAAGTACCCTATCTTCAGTTGGACTGTCATATGCATGAAGAAACTTTGGCCAGGTCATGTAGGCCCACTTGTACCTGGCCTGCCTGCCAGCTTCCTATGACTGCCAGTACTGCCATCTAGTGGCACCTGGGACCTTGTGGCCTCACGGGTAGAAGGCGGTACTTCCAGTTTCCTAAGCTTCGACTATGGAGGCACAGTCAGGACGTCACTGCAGCATGTGTACTTGAATGGGCATGAGCAGTTTGACACACCTGGTTCTCTACTGAGAGAAGAGGAGAGCTGTCTATGGGAATCTTGTGGTTTGAGCCCAGCGTGGGTCAGATGGAGGCAGTGATGAGATCGCTGCTGGAGGCCGATGCTTAGTGGCCAAAAGCCAGCCCTAGTACATCCTGTCTCTGAGCAGGAAGGAAGTGGGCTCAGCTCGCTGGATAGCTGGTAGCCTAGGGGATGGGTCTGCAGCAAGGCCCAGCCAGGGGAGCAGGGAGCCTCTTCCCTTGGCTGCGGATCACCGTCATGACTGCTGAGCAGTCGGCCTCTCCAGCTGACCACCAGCCTACCCTGCCCATGAGTTCAGGCCTAGTGCCTCTGTCAGCCAAAGAGGGATGGCACAATCCCAGGTGTGGCATCAAGTGTGGTTTTTGGTCCCCTCACCTAAGCCTCTTGGGCAGTATTGCACTGTGTGATATGGAGAGCAGGGGCTGTGTGCTTCAGAGCCTCTGGATGGGAGCCTTGGCTTTGTCTTCTCTCCCACTCAGGGCCAAGCCTATGGGGACATCGGAGGGGATGGGTGTTCTGAGTGTGGTGGGGAGTGGGGAGTGGGGGCCTCTGCCCGGCTTAGGGACTTAAATAACAGGACTGTGGAAGGAGCTTGGCCATGCCTGTTTCCTTCAAAACCAGGGTTCTTGGGATACTTGGATCTCCCCCTCCCTCCTAACGGGTCTACGGTCACTAATGCACATGTCTTCTCCTTTCTCCTCACCAGGGCTCAGGCCCAGGCACAGCAGTCCCGGGTGGCTCCGGCGTGGGAACCCCCAGACAGTTCACACGGCAAAGAATCACGCGGGTCAACCTCAGGGACCTCATATTTTGTTTAGAAAATGAGCGTGAGACAAGCCATTCACTGTTGCTCTACAAAGCATTCCTTAAGTAACAGGATGAGCGGCGTTTCTGACGGGATGCTTGCGGACGTTTTTATATGTTTGCAGATTACGCCTTTTTGTAACAAGCAAATGGGATATTGTTAAACAGCCACCTCTTTACAATGGAGCAGTTTTATACTCCTGTTTATAATCAGCTCTTCAGTGCGGCAGAAACCGTGTCTGCAGCAGAAAGAACACAAAGGCCTGTGGATGCTCTCACAGGACAGCTGACCCGAGCTCATCCTCGGCTGAGTGGCCTTCTTGCCAAACAAGCCATATTTAAAGACTGATGGAAGCGCTTAGCAAATAATTAGCAGTTGCTCATCCTGTGTGCGTTTTGGTTCTGCTCACCCTGACTCACCCGCTAGGTGTATGTCTACAGCCGATGACCTCATCTCTCAGTTTATGTTGTAGCAGTCAGTTGGCGAAGCAAACTGATTTTTTAGACTATTTATCACCCCACCCCCACCCTGTCCCTTACCTCCCTTCTACATGAAACTCCCCAGGAACACAACCTCCAAGCAGGGTCCCCTGTCTGCCAGTGGAGGCTGGGGTGCAGCACCTGTACAAATACGATTTGTTTGCTGCAGTTTGGAAGCTGTAAAGTGGAAGGAAATAAGAACCTTTTCAGCATAAATATATTTTACTTGCACTGTGTTTTTAGCTCAGAGTGAAGATTTAGATGAAATAAAATCAGAGTTGAGAAGAATCAACAACAGACTGTTTCTCAGTGTGGATCAAGTGTTGGAAATGGTTGGTGTATTTTGTCAGTAATTGTACATAATTTTTGGCACATAACATAAAATGGCTATGTAAACTATAATTATTTTGCTAAGAGACTGTATGCAAGCTGTGGCCAACCTTACAGGCGTCCAGAGCAAAGCCCCTTCTTTGTACCTATTTTTTTATTACAAATATACTAATTGGTTCTTTATATTTTCAGAGGTTATTGTATTAAATTGTCTATTGATAGTACTTTTATGACTGTAAATACTTGGCTTTCTCCGTGTGGATTCTCATGTTAGACTTCAATTCGCACGTGTGAACTGAACGCTGATCAGTATTTTTTACGACACCTGAGAACTGTTACACCTTTCATTTTATCTTTTAGGAAATCCCCGTCTTTCCATTTTTTCATGTAAATTTTGCACAGTTACTTGTTAATATGTAAATATTTTACTTTCAGAAATGAAGTTTTTAATTGCTATTGTTTTATATAGGATTGAAAGAAAATTAACTCCTTTATTAAAAACAAATTTATCTGTATTTGTCATGCCTGTTTTTCCTATTTTTGAGTCTCTCTGGTCCTTCTGAATCTACAGGACTTAACTGAGCACAGCCCCCTTCTGGGCTGGAGGTGGGGCCAGTCCTGTTCTGCTCACCCAGAGGACATCAGAGCTGTGCTTTTCCCATTCCAGGCCTTATCCTGTAGACTGTCTGGGGGCAGGCATAGGGGTCTGTGATAGGCAGATACCCCTGTAAGCCTCGTTGCTATCCCTGATGTTCTGATCAACAGCTGTAGAGATGGGCACACAGACCAGGGGCCATGGACAAATGCCCTGGCAGGATGGCCTGAGGCCTGAGGTCGAGGCAGTAAGGGTTGGCTTCCAGACTTTCTGTGGTGGCCATGGGCATGCAGAACAGCGCCCTCTCTCTGCCTCCCTTTTGAGCTCCCGGCTGTGTGTCTGTTTGTGCTGAGACTTCTCTTTCTGTCAGCACACCAGTCAAGAATACCTAAGCGACATCATGTTTACCTGATTGCCTTAGCAAAGACCCCCATCTCCAAACACGGGCATGTCTAAGGTCATGGGGTTGGAACACCACCATTACGTTCAGGAGAGGGCACAGCTCAACACACAGAGCTGAGCAGTGTGAAAAGTGAGACCTGAAGTTTGAGGTTGGAGGCTGGATATTGTGGAGGGCAGTGGGTTTGTGATCTTCCTGTGGTCTCACTATTTGTCTTTAGGCTTCCTAGCCTGCAATTGGCTACGTATGTGAAGGGCACTGACTTTCTCTGAGTGAAGTCAGTTCCTTTTTTTTCACTTTCTTGCTCTCCCTGCCGTGTCCAGTCCTTCAGGACAGCCACAGTGAAGATTCACACGTGTGCACAGGTGAGATGATACTGCAGTCCTGGTTTCGTCCCCAAGGCTCTTCCACAGTTGGATTCATGAGCCTCCTTGATACTTGGTCTCAGCAGCATGACTGGAGTCATCCCAGGTCCTGTTTAGCTATAAGGATGGGGACACAAGACTGCTCTCAGCACTCGTCTCAGGACACTGGCATGCCCATCAGGCATGACGAGCTGAGAAAGAAAACATAGACCGATGTGTAGAGGAAGAATGTGAGGTAAGAGCTGAAGGTGACATGGTTGAGGGCTGGCTAGGCTGAGGCAGTGTGTGAGCTCCGTGCCACACTCGAGGCCTGCAGCCTAGATGTAATCCTGGACACCAGGGACGAATGGTTAGAAAACTTGAAACATGCTGTTAACAGTAGCACCCAAACTTCACTACAGCAGAGTGCACATAGTGAAGGCTGTGAAAGAGAGTAGTTTCCTGTTGCTGTGCAAAAACTGACAGAAGTAACTTCAAGGAGACAGGGTTTATCCTGGCTCACAGTTCAAAGGTGCAGTCCATCAAGTGCAAGTCAAGATGGCTGGCACTTGAAGCAGCTGGTTACCTATCCACAGTCAGAATGCACGCCACTGCTTTAGCTCCCTCTCTCTCTTTTTTTTATTGGATATTTTATTTACATTTCAGATGTTTTCCCCTTATCCCATCCCCCCTCCCCACCCAGGAACCCCCTATCCCCCCCCCCCCCCCCGCTTCGAGGAGGTTGGGGCGCCCCGGACGGG